TTCGACATTCCCGGACATCACCATGGTACTTGGCCTCTACTTTGGCTGTACCCTTTTCATATAAGTCTTGCAAATGCAGGGGCAACTCCTTCCCTGTGTTTGCCTCCGCGTTCAATTCATCATGAATAGAACTTGCCTCAACTTGGGAGATAACCCCCTCTGTTGTTCCCTCACGGGCAACTCGTTTCTCCCTTCCGGGATTGAAGACCCGCAGCTTCAGTCTCAACCAGAGATCTGGCCAACAACAAGCCTTTCTTTGCTAAGTCACCACCACCTTCCACCGGTTCTACCATGGCTGGCCCGAGCAAGTCGGGACCCTTCCCAGCAATTTTGCCGGGAACCACTGCTTCATGACCTGGTGGGATTACCGTAGTTTTACAAACTACAACGCGTCCCACGAAGGGCTCGGCTGCATCATTTGTGCTCTTGATTCTCTCACCATTGAGCCTCCACTCCCTTAATTGGAAGTCCATGATTCCACCTGTTGGCACGAGAAAATCCATGCCCAGGATACCACTGTATTTGATCTAATAAGCAAATACAGCCTTCACTTGGTGCGTGGTCCTACCAACTTGCACCTCAACCAGAGCCATGCCAAGCACAGCTAACTGGCTTCCGTCCACCTGTTTTACCTGGACGTCTACCGTCTCCAAGACGGGTCTTTTCTCTTTTGGGATTTGGTAATACACTGCCCCACTTATTAGAGTGTCGGTGGACCCCGTGTCAATCGAGAATCGACACTTGGTTGCTCCTATCAACCCATACACAAACAACCTATACCGAGGACAACAGCTTGGATCAGACAGAGTTATTACTCGTTGCCCATCCTCACATTTTTGGACCTCCCATTTCCATTTTTGGTTTCATCACCGAGTCTACTTTTGGACCCTCTCGACCACTCAGCCTTCCCGCAGGTCCTCCGGGGATGACCGTTGTTTCCCTGCTTTGGAGTTCCTATACACTCCCGGGCGAAAAGCCCTCTCTCACCACATTTGAAACACTTAAGGGTTCCAGGTTCGGCTTTCCCGGGCTTTTGTACGTCTTCTTGCCTTGTCCATGGCCTTTGCTCTTGTCGGACAATGACTTGACCAACTCAGCCACAGATTTCAATGTCTTGTCCTGCTCATTGAGACTTTCCTGTAGTGTCTCTAATCTCTGGTCTGTTACAGAGTCCATAGTCCTCGCCAATTTGGCAGGCCTTCGGTCCAGCAATCTATTCTGTTCGACCTTCTCAAAATTCTCAGTCTCCAGGGCAGCCTGGACTGCTTTGTCCAAGGATTTTGGATGGGCCCTGTTGATGCCCTCTCTAATTGAGTGGCTGTCAACGGCATCTACGAAGTGTTTCTCTGCCAACTTCTCTCGAGCCTCTTCCTGTATTTCAGGGTATGCTCGCACCGTTAACTCGTGGATTGCTTGCCCTAATTCTAGCAATCCCTCTTTCTGCTTTTGGCGCCGGTGTTTAAGCTCAACGAGATAATTCTCACTCTGTCGAGCTGACCCAAACCTACGCTCAAGCAACTCGACCAGCGCACTGTACGTGTGCTTTTGACCTGAGTCGCACAACAACCGTAGAGCATCCCCTTGCAAGCTTGCGGATAACACTTCGCAGCTTGCTCTTCGCTCCACTGGTTTACCTCACGGCATGACTCAGCATGGCAGAAGTACGCCTTCCAGAGCACTTTCCCACTATACCGGTCAGGGGTTATATTTGGCCTACGATTTGGTGGCCCTACACATCCCTTCAGATCTAAGTCGCCATGGACACGTGCCTCTCGTGCCAGTGGCCAAGGACCTACTGACGAGCTGTCCACTCTTTCACCCGAACTGCTGTCTTTCGCCAAGACTGGTCTAGTTGCGAAACTTAGCAGATCGCTGTACACTTGTGTAGGGTTCACATTTTCCATATCACGAACGAACGGGTTAGTACTTGGCTTGCCCTGTTCCGCGCCATCTTGCCCGGACAGGAACAGCGTCAAGTCGTCTATGACTTGACTCTCGCGTTCCAAGGCGATTGGCGTCGACCCTGCCTGGGGTTTTATCATTGATCCTGAGTCTTTCAGAGGCGTACTTTCCATAAAGCTGGGCTCCCTTCCACGTTTGTGGGCCCAGTCAGTCACCATCTTTGTGTCTGACTCTCGTCTCCCCGTTGCTCCAGAGACATACCCAGTAGTCTCTTCGGGCATCCTCAGCTCAACATCGGTATCTACCTGATGGAATATACGCCGGCTCCCACCTGGCGTGATGGTGTTCCCTCCCTTTGGAGAACCACCCGACTGCATCTCCACGGCAGCTTCTAACTTCTTTGCAATGACATCTTTTTCCCACTGCAGAAATTGAGCTTCCATTCGCAGTCGCTGCACCTCGGCCTCAGCACTTGAGGTGCCCGTTTGACCCTGCGAGCCTTTGCTCATAATTAAAAACAACCACAACAATCACACTCGAAAACAACAACAAACAACCGATTAAAGCACAGTACAATTAGCAATACAAGTCAAAACACAATGTGCAATCAAATAATTTAACAGCGAAATCACTTAATCAATTATAATCATCCCACTTCTGACACCATTTGTGGCGGGGATCTTCCCTGGCCAAACCTAAGTTCGTTGGGACCTAGTCTGACACCTATTAAAGTGTAGCTGATCTTCCCGTACCCAAGCTTTCCCAAGACGAGAGACCACTCACAGCGACCTCAAGGCTTACGGAGCAGGTCCGTTTTGGAGGAAATATACCGCCGATTATGATGATTGTGATAACCCTCTGTTAATTGCACAATAAACCAACAACAAATACACCTGGACAACAGGAATGTCGGCACCACAAATATAATCGTAATTTATTAAACAATAATCAAGAAATGTGCAGTAGTGTTTTTGTCTTAATGAGGTTGTTAATTATCAGGGCCACTTAATTACACTTGGGAGTTAACTGACAGCTCACCTAAGCAGCAACGTGCACAGCCTGAACAATGCGTCCAATGTAAACAATGCACACTAAGTCAACAATGTACACTAATGTAAGCAATGCAACGCTAAGTCAACAACGTACACTAATGTAAACAACACACACCAATGTAAGTAATACACACCAATGTAAGTAATGCACGCCGATGTAAGTAATACACGCTGTTCGGCCTTAACCTGATTTACGCTTTACCCATGCAAGCTAGCGTCAGCATCGTTCGGTACATTCACTTGTACGGCTGCGCGTCAGCATCACACAGCGCAATTTCAGCACAGTTATGACCAGCGCCTTTATTTACACAGTGCGACAGCATTACCCAAAACACAGAGCGCGAGCAATACACAACCTCACCGTCCGCTGTCCACAGCACAAATCCTCCGCGCGATCACGTGAATAGCCCGCCCTCACGTGAACATGCATACGCCGTACAAACACATATGCATGTACTTAACCTATGGGCCTTTGACAACCAAAAGCGTACGTGCATTTTGGTCACTGGGCTCTTACGCTCCCCCCAGTCACCGACACACAGTGAATTTACGTTATTGCAATACGAATGACGAAGTAAATAAACTAGCTATACGTCCCTACACTTTCCGATACACTATCCTCACCTAATATTTATCAGACAAAGTCAGAATCGTTTGGTGTGGGAACCAGACTAAAGCGGGGGTGGCGTGGTGATCACCATTCGACTATAGAGAGCGCTGTTCGTCATTTGTGTATGTGCAGACACACCCATACGGGCACTTTATTCGTCAATTATATTTTGCGATTTCAATGAGAACAGTTGTTCAAACACTGTGAAAAACAATGCATATTAGTTTACATTAGGTTACATTAGGCATCATTGGCTTTCATCTGTGTTTTTCTTTCAATTTATTCCAAAGTGTTATTGATTGGTGTGGAGAGCCAGCAGAGGGTGTGTTACTCCGGTCCCCAACCGGAACCTGATCCTGATAATCCGGATGACTGGATGAAGCAAGTCATGCAAGAGATACGGAAGCGTTTCCCGGGAAGGAGGCAACCTACTCCAGCTGCTGGTACGATGTCCCATACGGGAGGTTCGACTAATAAGCATGAGGATTTGTTCTATAGGTTATACATTTATTGCATTGGGATTGAACATTCTATTTTGAATGATGTTAATTGCGATGCTGCAATTGACATTAAACACCTGCTGATGTGCGAAATGAGGAGATATGCTTGTCGTGCTTATTTTGTTTCACGTTTGATTTTTGGCCTCAAAAATGTTTTACGTTCGACTCCTCCCATTTTATGCGAGTCCCCAGAGTAAAACCAGAAAAAGATCAACAACGGAAAAATCCGTTGGTGCATGGTCATGCTCCATGTATTTTCATCCAAATTCAAAACGTTACTTAATGCCAATTTTGGGAGGGGGATTGTTCATTTTGCAATCATGTTGGCCCTGCTATCATTCTGATTTATGTGAGGTAAAATTTGAAGTTATTATTAAGCGTTTTACACCCAATCACGGTTTAGGATCAAATGATCTTTCCCACGATATAAGTGTTTTTAATTATTAATAATTATGAATAAATATTCCGCAACCCCTTGGTATGGAGGACGGGACAATACAAGATAATCGCATCACGGCGTCCAATATTCACATCTGTTGCCCTGCAAGTGAGGCACGCCTAAACAATAACAACGGATGGCAAACCCCGACGTAGGTATCCGAAGGGAAATGCAACACCTGACGCGTTACTCTCATATCTATATTCCCTCTGTATCATTACAATGCCACAAAACGCCCCTGAATGTATTTAATTAATGAACATCTAACTGAATCAATGTTTTTTTTGTTATGTTTTGTTTTATTTTGTTCAACAATCTTTTTCTTGTTTGATTCTCTTTTTCATTTTAAAAATTAATATTATCCTGGCCAAAGCCCAACCCAGATGCGCATTTGAATTACGCATTGTAACGAGTTTCCATAATTGTGTTCAAATTTCAAATCCATTCCACAAGCGGATTTGCGGAGTATAGTTATGTCATTGTTCCTCATCCTCTCTTCCCTCTGTGTACAGTGACGATGCCAATCCCTGGATCGAGGTGGACCTCGTTGAGCCTACAGTGGTGAGCGGGGTCATCACACAAGGCTACGCCTTTCGCCTTTGTCATGTGAAGAAGTACAAGGTGGCATATAAGAAACAGCCCTCATCTGACTATGAATACGTAACAGATGGAAACGGAAATATCAAGGTGAGTATCAATCGTGACTAAGTCTTGCTGTAAGCTAAATTTAACTGTTATACGTTGGACAGTTTAAAAAAAAAAAAACCACAATATTGTAAACATAACCTTTTCTTTAAATTATAATTTAGTTTCGGCTTTTTTCGAATTTTGATAGCTTTATTCTGTACGACGTTATTCGGTTCCATGCAAATGCAATCATTTAACCATTCTGAAATCGTGTCTAATTAGCAACCAAAGAAGCAACGACAGAAAATATTGATGCTACATTCTCCTATAGAAAGGTTATTCATGAGAAAATTGCTCTTGTTAAAAATAAGGTAAAATGCTCTGAAGCTGAAGTAAAGACCCAAGCAGCCCAGTCACGAGAAGTCCATAATGGCTGAATACGAACTCGAGTCCCCAACCAGGACAAACAGTTTACTTTTTATACATATTTTCGGTTTGTTCAAATTCTGTTTCGAATGACGACTCCCTCCGTTTAGATTGCCCGCTCTTTTAATAATAGTCTTGGTCTGAGATGTTACTGGAAGGAGGCTACTTTTGTTGCTAACGTGCGTTATTGCATTGGGATTCATTTCAGGTGTTCATCGGTAACACTGATGGCCACACCCCGGTCACTAACCTGTTTGATGGGAGTGTGGTGGCTACGGTAGTGCGCATTGTGCCTACTGAATGGCAAGATGGCGTTGGTCAGCGATTGGAGCTGGTTGAATGTCGCCATGATTAATTCAGTTGAAGCATTCAGGTGATTCTGTTCGACACCGCTGACATTTCTTTCAATGCCATATAAATTCGACATCTATATTGAATATTGATTATTATTTTATTTTTTTAAGTATATTTGGTAAGAGGAATATTTTTCAGAAAGTAATAACAAACTGAGGATTTGGAATAATCACTAAGGGCCCTTGCGTGAATTTGTGTCTTGAGAAAAGTGAAAGCGAAGTACGTGTGAAAACTTGGCCTTGTGTATCTCTTGAAAAGTTATAGCGGTTTTCTTTTTTCTTTTTTTTCATAGTATTTTCGCTTTAAGCAGAAACGTCTAAATTATAATTGAGGTACTTTGTTGTAGAGTAAAAACAAAATGTATATTAAGCTGTGCTGCTATCTTCAATCTTCAATACAATGTATTATGTTCATACATTGTCCGAATTTTAAAAAAATTCTATGAAATGTTAAAAACGCAATACATAATTGACCAAAACATAAACCCACAAAATCAAAGTGAATTGTGGGAACTGGGAACCTCTCGATAATTGAAATATTTTAGGAATCAAACTGTTTGAATAAGGGCCGGTTCATACTTCACTCGAATTCGATTGCGAAGCGCATCTGACGTCAGGATCATTTGCCGCGAAATTTGCCCGAGTTGAAAAGTGTGGTTTTTCTTTTGCCAACTCACAGCGCGGAATATTCCCGTGACAACACAGACTCGCGTTCGCGTTCGCTTTTGTGCCGAGTATGATGGGGCTTTTGCTTCTAGATGTTATTCACTGTGGTATTTTGCTGTAAATATAAGACAATTTAAGTCACGATATTAAATCATTGTACAATAATTTAGGTGTACATTTTGGTGTTAGATGTATAGTGTATTGTTACGGCAAAGTAACATTTTATTGCCAATATATTGTAATATTGTTAGTACAGTGTTGGACAATTTTATCAATGTGATGCCTTATTGCTGTGGATGTACAGCTTTATCAGAATTCCAAAATTACAAACATGTAAAGGTCAAATACAGTGGAAATTAGCTTTTGTGAATGAGGAACCTTAAGAGAATAAAAGAGAATATTTCCCAAATATTCGTAGTTCCGTGTGAATATCGACGAGTTGTCATAAAGAGAAGCTAAGAGGCAGCCATCTTGATCTCATTGAAGGATATACCAATATTGTACATATATAATTCAAATGCTGTTATGTTCCTATTTGTGAAATAAAAATGCCTATAAATAAACCATGTATTTGGTCTTGCTTGTTTTGTATTTGCTTGATTTGTTCAATGATCGAATCACAATTCAAATCAGATCGACTGATTTGCGGCCAGTGCACATTTGATGGTCTGTAAAAGTGACCACTATTCCGTCAGCAAGGAAATATGTATATTGTATAGTTTTTTTCTCTTCATTTTATGTTTCTTTCTTTCTTCATTTCATTTTTGTCAAGGGAAAGAAGAAAATTCCCTTGGTCCCCCTCCCCGTGACTCCCATGTTACATAATGGTACATGCTGTCTGACAAAAAGAAGTGCACCATGAATAGATGACGCGATGAACGACCCATTTATTTGATATTTAATTAGTTTCCTCCTGAAACGTCCTCTAGGGATCTTGAAAACATTATCTAGGGATGTTGACATTTACCGCGTCATTTGTTGAAATGCCGTCAAATGGCTCGGAGCGTTACTAAACAGTGGAACCTTGCGCCATACTATCGTGGCTTTGGTGAAGCTGCGAAGCCACGAAGCGGAGCGGAGGCGAACTCGGCGCGAAACATTGGCGAAGCCGCGAGACCTTTTTCTAACATTTTGTAAGGCCTTGGTTGAATTATTTATAAGGTTGCAAACATGAGTCATTGTTATTTTTAAGCGCATGCGCATACGATTTAAAAGCTCCTGTGCCAAGTTCTCGGATAACCTCATATGTTAGTATTGAACATCCAGGTCATCATTAAACATCGCGATTGTAGATGGAATTTCGACTTCAGACTCAGTACACAGAGAGACCGACAAATCAGGTGTCAAGCTACGTCACATTAAAGGTGTATTTTTGAAAGCCCTATATCTCCTGAAGACAAATCCAATTGGGTTGAATCATTACAGACAGGAACGTGTTATAAATGTAAATTTAAGCCGTTATGACGTGTCATGTTACCTCACATTTAAGGCGTAATTTGCTTAGGTCTCGCGAGAAGTAAAGGTCTGATTCAGTTGTACTTTGTCTATAGTGTTGTGTATTATTCATGTATATAACATTTATGACCTCACAGAGCCATTTCAAAAACAGACAAACAGCTTGTTTTCGTACACAAACACATTTCTAGCTTAATTTGTATTTCATCGGCTGATGTGCTTTGTGTAAAGATGAGATGAATGAAACGACCTGCTGCCCGTCCAAGTTTGATTGCCAAAAAATAAAAATGCATGAAAAGTGAACAAACTACCCACTTTGTATTTCTTTCCGTCTGTTAAGCAAAGTCTCGAAATCAAGTTAACGTCATCATCTGTACCGTTATTTTACCAACAGAGAGCGCCCAGAAACACTGACACATTTCTCGTACCCAACGCCCCACCCCTACAATTCTTTCGGTTTTGGTTCGGTTTACTAAGTTGTATACAATTTACAGACAAAAAGACCATTATAATCGCCGAACAAAGTGATTTTGGGTCATCAGGTTGCCCCGAAGTAGCAACCAGAAGGGCAAAAATAGCCCAAAGGTCAATGTGTACCTACATATTTTCGCCACTACAGTTTTCCCTTCACCTCTGTATATTCAAAAACGAAACCACACTGATACAAGGTCACATCCATTCAAAAATGTAAACGCGCATCCTTAGGCCAAAAAAGAAAAATAGTCGGTCTCTGGTCAGACCGAAGTTCCGGAATTGATGCGGCGACGCGGTTTTTTTTTTTTTTTTTTTTGGTGGCTTTTTTTTTCTTTCAAGCTTGTATTGTACAGACAAGGTGGGTACTATTTTGCTTTTTTGTGTCCTCATTATACATTGGTGTCCTCCATAATTTGCCTTGGTGCCTTTTATCATTTGCCTTGGTGCAATTTCCCCTTTCCTTGGTGCTCCTTGGTACAAAAATTTGAGAAGGCGCGGCAATAGAGGGCGCTGTTGTAGCTTCCGTGTTAATTTGAAGAAAAAAAAGGTTGACGCGCATGATTAAAAAATCGACGCGCGTGCTGACCAGAGACCGCGTATTTTTTTTTTTTGGCCTTACAATACGTGACCTTTTTTTTTTTATCATACCCTCCTTATCTTCCAATTATCTCTAGTTTTAGGTCTCTCACTTTGAAAATTGTGCCCTTCCGTTTAAACGAAAAATCACCAGATCTTTACCACTATTATGCACAATTGAAGCGATATTACATTCATCGATACTTGTTTTCCTTAAAATTTTCCAAACCACATTTCCAAACTACAAAAGAAAATGCCCTAAACTGCTGTATAAATAACATTTTTAGGGGAACGAAATTAAACAAATAATGAATGAAAAGAAAAGCAATGACAGTTCATGTAGCATCCGCTAGACTACATCAGTGACTCCTTCCGCTGAGTTGTTATATTCATTATATTATTGCATGTACATGTATTGCGCCACACGCGGCAATCATCCATGTAGGACCGACTTTGTGTTATTGAAAAAGCTTGCCTCTGGTCAATGCAGTCCTCGGCATGACCGGGGATAGGGCGCCCTCATTCGAGCGGTGCTTCACTGCATTTTTTTTGTTTTCACTTTTACCCACCGCCCTTTATAATATTCACAGGGTCCTGATTCCGATAAGTGTTGCAATTGCACTCAGTGTGGCAATTGCACTCTCTGAAGGGATTCCTTCATAGAGTGCAAAACATAATGACATTGAAAAGTCACCGGTGAGAGTAATTAGAGCCCAAAGTAGAGGATGAAATAAATCAGATTTCATAGGACGCCAAAATGTTATGACAACAAACTTTCAGAGTTTACCGGACAAAATTGGGTTAGGGAAAATCGGATTCCTGGTGTCCAATTCTGTTCAAATCCAATCTTACTTTCATGAGAGAATGCTTCTAAATACGGCTGCATTGTCACATTACGTGGTAAAGTTAAGATTGTCTTCCACATTATCAGCAATGTAGACATACATGTAAATTAAACAAAATCCTCCATCGGCCGTCGGACACAATGGTTCGGACATAATCGGCCGTCGGACACAATGGGTCGGACATAATCGGACGTCGGACACAATGGGTCGAACATAATCGGCCGTCGGACACAATGAGTCGGACATAATCGGCCGTCGGACATAATCGGCAGTCGGACATGATCGGCCGTCGGACACAATGGGTTGGACATTATCGGCAGTCGGACATAACCTCATATGTTAGTCTGTTAGTATTAAACACCCAGGTCCTTATTAAACCTCGCGATTGTAGATGGAATGTCTTGGAAAAGGCTTCGCCACTCGAAAGTGTGGTCAGATTCGCTGATCTAAGCCCAGTCTGTGGCCTTGGTGAAAGGCTACCAAACAGTGAAGCCGCTGAATGTTGATGTCGTACAGTGGAGGAACAATTGGATTCGAGTTAAACAATGGTATAGACTGGTTCCTCGTCCCTCCATTGTCCTTCGGATCTTTAATGTGGGGACAGGTAGCTATTAGTGAGTTCCGAATGCATTAGGAAGTTTTCTTCCTATAATGTATGAAAATTAGGTTTCAGCCCTACGTGTGATTCCCTCCCCCTGACTTCAAAATCACAATGATGATGTTTGCGCGGAACGACACCAGGTTCAGTATACTAATAGTGCAATTTTTGTGGTGATGAGTTTCGATTTTTGCTGAATTTGAATGTGTCTATGGCAACTATCGATACAGAGAGGGGCATTACTTTTCAGTAGACCTATTTGAAACCTATGATACAGTTAAAATGCTTGAAGTTGCCTTCGTGGAGACACTGGCAATCTTGACTACTGGTTCTGATAAGAGGGCGTTTTTTTTGACAACTGTGTTTTCTAGTGTCATCCATGCACAAGCGGCGAAACTACGGGGGAGGGGGAAGGGGGGGGGGGGAGGAGGGATCCGTTGGGGGCGCACGCATCCATTATCGTTGCCCCAGAAGCCCTCCCCCTCCGCTAGAAATTTGGCAACCTGAAAAATAGTCACAGTCCTATAAGTTGACATGCAGAGCGGGTTTAACATAAGGTGCCTTGTTTTCACGTTTATGATTGTTAATCACAAAAACCTTTGTTTTTGCGATTTGCTGTAACTTCTAATGTCCAGTGGAAATCGACTAGCGCCACCTATTGTCTGACATTTTACCACGATGTCGGATTTAAACAGCGTGAAGATGGTGTCTAACACCCCCTCCCCCTTTTGATTTTATGGGGCCGGGTGTCCGGTGAAAAAAGAAACCTGTGTAAATGATGGGACCCTTGGCTGTGCTGCTGCCATAATCTACACGAAGCTGTGAACATCATTTAAAAAATGCTTCGAATGCGCAGAGATGATCCAATAAATGACTGTAAATGCTAGCTAGCTACCAGTCCCCATACTTGGGGGGGGGGCAGTCTAGACAGCTGCGAACATTTAGTAGTCTTGGTTTCAAGACGTCCTCAGCGGTGCGATGTTTCAGAAACGACGTGTTGCCCGTCCAAATTTGATTGCAAAACTTATAAAAAATACATGTTTAGCAAAGTCTTGTTATCAAGTTAAAGTCATCGTCTGTACCAATTCCTACTTTAGTTTACCACCAGAGGGCGCCCTGCAATACTGACACATTTCTCGTATCCAATTCTGTCGTTTTTGGTTCTGTTTGCTAACTGTGTGTATATAATTGAAAGACAGTATCATAATCACCGACCCAAGTGTGCACATCGGATCGACGCTCCGTTATGTTGCATCTGTACCGTGTATAAGATATATTTATGCATGGAGTCTATGGGCAAAATACAATGTACTAATTTAGGCTTCACCGCCATTGTGACGAAGAGGTTTGATTTAATATTCGTATTTCAATGCCATCTGACTCATTCGGCGTATCCTATCAACATCCAAGGCACAATATCTTAATTGCATTATCTGTATTATATCTGCCCTCTCGCTGCGTATCGTTTTCTAAAGGTTCGTTGTTTACACGGTTGTGTAATTATCTAGACCAACCTTGATTGCTGCTGAGGATTCTGTTTGTTACTGGAAGCCGCTTCCGCTCGTACGCGGTGCCGCAGCGTTTCATATCGATTCGTTACTGTTTATGACCACGATGGTTTTTATTGTTCAATTTCAAGACGACATTTTGTCAATTTCGAGATGCTATTTTGTTAAAACTGGAAATTGTAATTACAATGTACAACGTGATACACATTGGCTGTTACGTTACCCCCTTCTTGCGTTTTAGCTTCGCCCATACAGTAACATTCAACAAATCCGAAAAGTTTCTGCCTTCGTGGTGAGTGCAGGCCCGTTTCTGATTGGCTAGACTTGCTGTTACGTCAGCCTGTTCGTAGTCTGCGGCTGCTTAGCTGCTGAGGCGAGCTAGTGACATTTCTGTATCCAATAAATGGCTTTAAATGCTAGCTAGCTACCGGTTTCAATATTTGTAGGGGGCTGGACACCAGACTAGAACAACGACAGCTGCGAATATTTAGTAGTCTGGGTTTCAAGACGTCCTCAGCGGGTCGATGTTTCAGCGTGATATGTACAGGCGGATTCACAGAAGCAGGCGCTCTTTACACACGCATACATATTCACGCTAACAGGCCGTTCAAGCGTGTAAAATGATAAATAAAAGCAAATATCGAATGTACAAGCATAACATTCACAAAAGATGTCCACATAAACCAGTTTTTCAAATACGCTGTGAGGACTTGCCCACGCCAACAAGGTTTTCCCACTCTAGAAAACAGGTTTAGAGGCAATTCTGGGTTAGGTTTATGTGTCGCAAAAATGAAAAGAAACACTACAGGGAACCTTAGTTTAAAAAAATGGGTTAAAAGGGTTTTGACAGTGTGAGTATATATTAAGTTATTTTCACATTTTTTTTAACTATAAAAAAACAAAGGAATGTCCACGCTATGTAACGTAAACTTGGGGGCAAGTTCGCGCAAGAACTATTGTTGACCGTTGGTTAACCATAGTTCGACTAAAGTTAGCCCGAACTCTGTCTAGTCTACGGTGGTTGACTACGCTAGTCGACTATTTGGAACCATCCTACTAGTGCGGGGTTGCATCGCTGGTAACCAATAGCCGCGCGCATTGATATCGTGCAGCGGGAGCCAGGGGCCAGAAGTTTTGCGATGACATTTTGACCAGCGTTTGACTAGAGACGTTTGCACGCTGCTGTTAGTGCGCAGGCGTAAGGTACGTCACAAATCAACCACTAGTCGACTAATGGTCCTTGCCCGACTTGGCCACGGGTGCAAGCTTGTTTTAGTGTTTATTTGCTCGGCTGATGTACTTTGCGTTAAAATGAAATGAACAGAACGACCTGCTACCAGTCCAAATTCGACTGCAAAAATTATAAAATACATAAAACGTGAACAAATACACATTTACAAATACACATTCCGAATGTTAAGCGAAGTCTCGTAATCAAGTTAACGAAACCGTCTGTGTCAACTTTATTTTACCAACAGAGAGCGCCTCCAGCAACACGTACACATTCCTCGTATCAAATAACCCATCCCTTCAATTCGTTCGTTTTTGGCTCTGTTTACTAGCTGTTTGTATATAATGTAAAGGCAATAAGACCCTGAGACAAGGAGCTTAAAGATCGCAGTTTCAGTATCATAATCACCGAGCCAAGTGTACAAATCGGATCGCAACGCTCCGTTAAGTTGTATCTGTACCGGCTAGGGTGTATTTATGCATGTAGTCTATGGGCAAATGACTCTTTAGGCTTCCTAACCATTGGGACGAAGACGTTTGATCTAATATATTTCGTATTTCAATGCCTTCTGACTCGTTCGGCGTATCCTATCAACACTGCCTTCAAAATCAAAGGCAAAATATCTTAATGCCGAGGATTCTGTGTTTATTACCGGCAGCTGCTTCTGCTCGTACGCGGTGCCGCACCGTTTCATATCGATTCGGGACTGTATATGACCACGATGGTCGTCATTGTTCAATTTCAAGACGACATTTTGTTAATTTCAAGACGCTATTTTGTTAAAACTGGAAACTGTAATTACAACGTACTACCCATTGGCTGTTACGTTACCCGCTTCCAGCATTAGCTCCAACCACACTGTAAATTAAACAAATCAGAAAATTTTGTGCATTCGTGGTAAGTTCAGGCTCGTCCCTGATTGGCTATAGGCATGCTATGACGTCAGCCTGTTCGTGGTCTGCGGCTGCTTAGCTACTGAGGGAGCGAGTGGCAGTTATGTACTCGGTGATGTACGATCAACACTCACGGAGCGGAGCCTCGATCATTGCGCCAATTAGTTTTGGTCTCAGTAAGTCAGGCTCTTTCCTGCAGATCGTCGTTCAGTACTCTACAAGCATAGCTGGTGTGGTGTGTGTGTCGTTCATTGCATCAATCAGCGAAAGTTTCCAGTAAGGTTTTACGTTGATTCTGTTGTCCAGTAGTCAACGTGGGTATAGTTACCCTTTTATAATTCGCGTCAGTGTGTGAGCCGTTAAATACATCTCAGCAGATTGTGCTCAGAATTCACCTGCATCTTTGACAATGGACGGAGCAGTAGCTTTGGTTCTGATGTTGTCAGCAATGGCAGGTAAGATTGAATAATGTATCACCTGTGGCATGTCGATCCTCTGACTGGTTGGTTGGCAAAAGTAGAAAAGCTATATAGCCTCATCAGGAGCGGCGACACAATATGCATCCCTCCCATTTATTTCCAACATGAAACCCTTAAAGTCCAGGCACAAAATTGAAAAGATTAGTTTTGCACCACATTCCTAGGTCACCAGACTGACATACTAAAAGTCTTTAAAAATCCAATTGGTGGAAATCGTGCCAAATTTGCATAAATTGTAAATACCTGTCATGTAATAAATTGGTAGAAATTTTATTTTTTGTTTTTTTTGTTTTGGAGAGATTTATATTGGTGAATCTACTTTAATACTCATCCTTACTTCAATAACATTTTCTAAGGCATAGAAGTGACTGAATAACTATAAGGACATAGTAACGATCCAAAATGGCTACTATTATACCTTAAATTGAGCGCAGTTACTTTGTCTCCGTTATTATCGAGTATCTTGCCAAACCTCAGCATGAGTTTCAAACCTTCAAACCTCAGGTGAGCTTCGAATTCACCAAGTAGCTTACTGGCACAGTTACCCTACTAAAACTTTATGGAAAGTCAAGTGAACTATGACAACATTTTTATATCAGGTGCAGAAAACAAAAACGGGGAAAAAACGAGGTGTCGGTAAATTGGGCAAAAAAGTAGGCGAAGGGTTGCCTGGCGTGGGGGACTTGAACAAGTTCCGTAACAGAAAGTACCGCTTTGACTTTATCATTAAAAGCTTTTAATGTTCCGTTCAAATACAAAAAACCTTGCTTCATATATAACAGCAAGATATTTCTGTAAGAAAATATTGAGGAATGTTGAGCTGTAATCTTCAAGTTAGGGACCCAAGTAGCAGTCGAAGCCGAAATGCGTACGACGCCGAGTTTTGGAATACACCTAGGTAACCCTCGTCGGATTCCAAAACAAAATGACGCAGCAAAGCTCGCCCCTCGTACTATCCGAGTGCACGAACTATACGACATGCAGCAAAGCTTGCTCCTCGTATCATCAGAGTGCACAAACTATACTAGATCCATCAAAGCTTGCTTCTCGTACTGTCCAGGTGCACAAACTAAACGAGATGCAGTAAAGCTCGCCTTTCGTACTATCCGAGTGCACAAACTAAACGAGATGCAGCAATGCTCGCCCCTCGTACTATCCGATGCACAAACTAAATGTGATGCTGCAAAGCTCGTCCCTCGTACTATCCGAATGCACAAACTGCAAAGATCACCCCTCGTTTTAACAAGTGCACAAACTGTGCGAGATACAGCAAAGCTCGCCCCTCGTACTATACGAGTGCACAAACTATTCGAGATGCATCAAAGCTCGCCCCTCGTACTATCCGAGTGCACAAACTATACTAGATGCAGCAAAGCTCACCCATCGTACCATCCGGGTGCACAAACTATACGAGATGCAGCAAAGCTCGCCCCTCGTACTATCCGAGTGCACAAACTATACGAGATGCAGCAAAGCTTGCCCCTCGTTCTATCCGAGTGCACAAACTAAACGAGATGCAGCAAAGCTTGCCCCTGGTACTATCCGAGTGCACAAACTATAGGAAATGCAGCAAAGCTCGTCCCTCGTACTATCCGAGTGCACAAACTATACGAGATGCAGCAAAGCTTGCCCCTCGTTCTATCCGAGTGCACAAACTAAACGAGATGCAGCAAAGCTTGCCCCTGGTACTATCCGAGTGCACAAACTATAGGAAATGCAGCAAAGCTCGTCCCTCGTACTATCCGAGTGCACAAACTATACGAGATGCAGCAAAGCTTGCCCCTCGTTCTATCCGAGTGCACAAACTAAACGAGATGCAGCAAAGCTTGCCCCTGGTACTATCCGAGTGCACAAACTATAGAAAATGCAGCAAAGCTCGCCCCTCGTACTATCCGAGTGCACAAACTATACTAGATGCAGCAAAGCTCACCCCTCGTACGATCTGAGTGCACAAACTATACGAAATGCAGCAAAGCTCGCCCCTTACTATTGTGACGGGGATCTCCCCGGTCCAAACCTATGGACACGTGCCTCTCGTTTCAGTGGCTAAGGACCTACTGACGAGCTGTCCACTCTTTCAGCCGAACTGCTGTCTTTCGCCAAGTCTGGTCTAGTTGCGAAACTTAGCAGATCGCTGTGCACTTGTGTAGGGTTCACATTTTCCCTATCACGAACGAACGGGTTAGTACTTGGCTTACCCTGTTTCGCGCCATCTTGCCGGACAGGAACAGCGTCAAATCGTCTATGACTTGACTCTCGCGTTCTAAGGCGATTGGCGTTGACCCTGCTCGGGATTTTATCCTTGAGCCTGAGTCTTTAACAGGCGTACTTTCCATAAAACTGGCCTCCCTCCCAGCTCCGTCTAGGAAGACCTCCACTCTAGTGAACTCTTTCACCTGGGCCATGCGCGTCCTTGTGGGCGAGGCCGTAGACCTGGGCGTCTCCATGGACATCTCGCTGCCGAAGTCCTGGCCTTCCAAGGAGGGCATGGATGATGCCGGGCTATATGGGGTGGGGACGCCTCCACCGTCTTCATCAGCTGGAGCATAGCTCGGGGCTTACCTCGCTGTCCATAGGGGGAATCGGCAGGCCGTGAAGACCGGACTGGACCCAGCAGGGGGGGGGACAGGCGGGGTTGCGGGGGGGGGGGGGGTTGGGAGAGAGGGACAAAACAGCCGTGTCTGGGGCCGTCTCGTCATCTGACGGGGCGGTTACAGGGGTCTCTGGTGGGGGGTTTGCTGGATTTACCGGTGTGTCTTTGGGAGCTGGTGGGTTCCCTTTCACTACCAGTTCTGCCGAAGAGTTAGACTGGTACCTGACCTTCTTCATGGCTGGAGATGAGATGCCTGGTGGAACATCGTTGGCTAACAGCTCAGGGTGGCACATCTATATATGCCTCTGCAGGGCCGTAGTGTTTGCATGGCCGTCTGGACATCCCATCAGCATTTCCATGCTTCTTTCCGCTTCTGTGCTCTACGACTAAGTCATATTGAGACAGGACTTCCATCCACCTTGCCAGCTGACCCTCTGGGTTCTTAAAATTAAGTACCCACCGCAATGCGGCATGGTCAGTTCTGACGGTCACTTTTCGGCCTTACAGGTATTGTTTGAAATACTTCAAATATACCACCACAGCCAACAACTCTTTGCGAGTGACACAGTAGTTTCGCTCAGGTTTGCTGAGGTACCGTCTTGCATAAGCAAGCACCTTCTCGTCACCATCTTGGACCTGGGATAGCACCGCCCCGAAACTGTCACCACTGGCATCGGTGTCCAAGATAAAGTCACCCTCTGGGTATGACAGAACCGGAGTGGCCTGGAGCCTGCTCTTCAGCTCGTCAAATGCCTGTTAACAACTGTCAGTCCATACGAACTCCTGTGACTTTTCGGTCAGGGCATGGAAAGGGCTCGCAATTTTTGCAAATCCCTGTATTAACTTCCGGTAGTACGAGGCGAGATTAAAAGCTTCTCAAATCTCGTACACACCTTGGAATTGGCCAGTTTGCCACTGCTTCAACCTTTTGGGGTCTGTGTCCACGCCTTCTGATGACACGATGTGCCCCAGGTAAGCGACAGACTCCTGAAACAAAATGGCACTTGCTGGGCTTTAACTTCAGCCCGGCGTGTCTCAGCCGATCAAACACCACTCGGACGTTCTAAGGTCTCCGGCACTGTTCTACCGAACACAATGATGTCATCCAAATATATCAGTAGGATTTCCCACTGTAAGCCGGCCATGACTTTTTCCATGAGCCGCTCAAAGGTTGCCGGGGCGTTGCAAAGCCCAAATTTAAAGGACATGCACCTCCATCGATACAACCCGTTTCTCACAACAAATTTGGACTTTTGACAGGCGTCCTCGTCAAGAGCGACTTGCCAGTACCCCGACGTTAAGTCGAGTGTACAGAACCACTTTGCCCCTCGCAATGCATCGAATGTTTCATCGATGCGCGGGACAGGGTACGCATCTTTGACAGTGACTGAATTCAGCTTTCTGTAGTCAACACAGAAGCGCTTCTTACCGTCTTTCATGTCAACCAGGACAACATTAGCTGCCCAGGGACTATCAGAGGGTTCTATTACTCCCCGCTTCTCCAGATCGCTTATTTGCCCCTGGATTTCCTGCTGGTGCAGGTATGGATGACGCCTCACCCGCTCTTTAATCGGCCTAGCATCACCATTGTTTATGTGATGCTTGACCACGTCCGTGCGACTGATGTCATGGTCACCCTTGGACAACACATCCTGGAAGTCTATCCGACATTCCCGGACAACACCATGGTACTTGGCCTCTACTTTGGCTGTACCCTTTTCATATAAGTCTTGCAAATGCAGGGGCAACTCCTTCCCTGTGTTTGCTTCCGCGTTCAATTCATCATGAATAGAACTTACCTCAACTTGGGAGATAACCCCCGCTGTTGTTCCTTCACGGGCAACTCTTTTCTCCCTTCCCGGATTGAAGACCCGTAGCGGAACAACATCAGCTTCAGTCTCAACCAGAGATCTGGCCAACAACAAGCCTTTCTTTGCTAGGTCACCACCACCTTCCACCGGTTCTACCATGGCTGGCCCGAGCAATTCGGGACCCTTCCCAGTAATTTTGCCGGGAACCACTGCTTCATGACCTGGTGGGATTACCGTAGTTTTACAAACTACAACGCCTCCCACGAAGGGCTCGCCTGCATCATTTGTGTACTTGATTTTCTCACCATTGAGCCTCCACTCCCTTAATTGGAAGTCCACGATTCCACCTGTTGGCATGAGAAAATCCATGCCCAGGATACCACTGTATTTGATCTAAGCAAAAACAGCCTTCACTACCAACTTGCACCTCAACCAGAGCCATGCCAAGCACAGCTAACTGGCTTCCCTCCACCTGTTTTGAAACACTTAAATGTTCCAGGTTTGGCTTTCCCGGGCTTTTGTACGTCTTCTGAGACACCACGCCCTTGCCTTGTCCATGGCCTTTGCTCTTGTCGGACTTGACCAACTCAGCCACAGATTTCAATGTCTTTGCCTGCTCATTGAGACTTTCCTGTAGAGTCTCTAATCTCTGCTCTGTTACAGAGTCCATAGCCCTCGCCAATTTGGCAGGTGTTCGGTCCAGCAATCTATTCTGTTCGACCTTCTCAAAATTCTCAGTCTCCAGGGCAGCCTGGACTGCTTCGTCCAGGGTATGCGCGCACCGTTAACTCGTGGATTGCTTGACTTAATTCTAGCAATCCCTCTTTCTGCTTTTGGCGCCGGTGTTTAAGCTCAACGAGATAATTCTCACTCTGTCGAGCTGACCCAAACATACGCTCAAACAACTCGACCAGCGCACTTTACGTGTGCTTTTGACCTGAGTCGCACAACAACCGTAGAGCATCCCCTTGCAAGCTTGCGGATAACCACTTTGCAGCTTGCTCTTCGCTCCACTGGTTTACCTCACGGCATGACTCAGAATGGCGGAAGTACGCCTTCAAGAGCACTTTCCCACTATACCGGTCAGGGATTATATTTGGCCTACAATTTGGTGGTCCTACACTTCCCTTCAGATCTATGTCGCCATGGACACGTGCCTCTCGTTTCAGTGGCCAAGGACCTACTGACGAGCTGTCCACTCTTTCAGCCGAACTGCTGTCTTTCGCCAAGACTGGTCTAGTTGCGAAACTTAGCAGATCGCTGTACACTTGTGTAGGGTTCACATTTTCCATATCACGAACGAACGGGTTAGTACTTGGCTTACCCTGTTCCGCGCTATCTTGCCCGGACAGGAACAGCGTCAAGTCGTCTATGACTTGACTCTCGCGTTCCAAGGCGATTGGCGTCGACCCTGCCTGAGTCTTTCAGAGGCGTACTTTTCATAAAGCTGGCCTCCCTCCCACGTTTGTGGGCCCAGTCAGTCACCATCTTTGTGTCTGACTCTCGTCTCCCCGTTGCTCCAGAGACATACCCAGTAGTCTCTTCGGGCAACCTCAGCTCAACATCGGCATCTACCTGATGGAATATACGCCGGCTCTCACCTGACGTGATTGTGTTCCCTCCCTTTGGAGAACCACCCGCCTGCATCTCCATGGCAGCCTCTAACTTCTTTGCAATGAGATCTTTTTCCCACTGCAGAAATTGAGCTTCCATTCGCAGTCGCTGCACCTCGGCTTCAGCACTTGAGGTGCCCGCTTGACCCTGCGAGCTTTTGCTCATAATTGAAAACAACCACAACAATCACACTCGAAAACAAACAACAAACAACCGATTAAACCACAGTACAATTAGCAATACAAGTCAAAACACAATGTGCAACCAAATAATTTAACAGCGAAATCACTTAATCAATTATAATCATCCCACTTCTGACATCATTTGTGGCGGGGATCTTCCCTGGCCAAACCTAAGTTCGCTGGGACCAAGTCTGACACCTATTAAAGTGTAGCTGATCTTCCCGTACCCAAGCTTTCCCAAGACGAGAGACCACTCAGAGCGACCTCAAGGCTTAGGGAGCAGGTCCATTTTGGAGGAAATATACTGCCGATTATGATGATTGTGATAACCCTCTGTTAATTGCACAATAAACCAACAACAAATACACCTGGACAACAGGAATGTCGGCACCACAAATATAATCGTAATTTATTAAACAATAATCAAGAAATGTGTAGTAGTGTTTTTGTCTTAATGAGGTTGTTAATTATCAGGGCCACTTAATTACACTTGGGAGATAACTGACAGCTCACCTAAGCAGCACTGTGCACAGCCTGAACAATGCGTCCAATATAAACAAGGCACACTAAGTAAACAATGTACACTAATGTAAGCAATGCAACGCTAAGTCAACAACGTACACTAATGTAAACAACACACACCAATGTAAGTAATACACACCAATGTAAGTAATGCACGCCGATGTAAGTAATACACGCTGTGCAAGCTAGCGTCAGCATCGTTCAGTACATTCACTTGTACGGCTGCGCGTCAGCATCACACAGCGCAATTTCAGCACAGTTATGGCCAGCGCCTTTATTACACAGTGCGCGACAGCATTACCCAAAACACAGAGCGCGAGCAATACACGACCTCACCGTTCGCTGTCCACAGCACAAATCCTCCGCACGATCAGGTGAATAGCCCTCACGTGAACATGCATACGCCGTACAAACACATATGCATGTACTAAACCTATGGGCCTTTGACAACCAAAAGCGTACGTGCATTTTGGTCACTGGGCTCTTACGCTCCCCCCAGTCACCGATACACAGTGAATTTACGTTATTCCAATACGAATGACGTAGTAAATAAACTAGCTATACGTCCCTACACTTTCCGCTACACTATCCTCACCAATATTTATCAGACATAGTCAGAATCGTTTGGTGTGGGAACCAGACTAAAGCGGGGGTGGCGTGGTGATCACCATTGGACTATAGAGAGCGCTGTTTGTCACTTGTGTATGTGCAGACACACCCATACGGGCACTTTATTCGTCAATTATATTTTGCGATTTCAATGAAAACAGTTGTTCATACACTGTGAAAAACAATGCATATTAGTTTACATTAGGTTACATTAGACATCATTGGCTTTCATCTGTGTTTTTATTTCAATTTATTTCAAAGTGATATTGATTGGTGTGGAGAGCCAGCAGAGGGTGTGTTACTCCGGTCCCCCACCGGAACCTGATCCTGATAATCCGGATGACTGGATGAAGCAAGTCATGCAAGAGATACGGAAGCGTTGCCCAGGAAGGAGGCAACCTACTCCAGCTGCTGGTACGATGTCCCATACTGGAGGTTCGACTAATAAGCATGTGGATTTGTTCTATAGGTTATACATTTATTGCATTGGGATTGAACATTCTATTTTGAATGATGTTAATTGCGATGCTGCAATGGACATTAAACACCTGCTAATGTGCGAAATGAGGAGATATGCTTGTCGTGCTTATTTTGTTTCACGTTTGATTTTTGGCCTCAAAAATGTTATACGTTCGACTCCTCCCATTTCGAAAAAAAAACAGTTGATTTTATGCAAGTCCCTAGAGTAAAACCAGAAAAAAGATCAACAACGGAAAAATCCGTTGGTGCATGGTCATGCTCTATGTATTTTCATCCAAATTCAAAACGTTACTTAATGCCAATTTGGGGAGGAGGATTGTTCATATTTGCAATCATGTTGGCCCTGCTATCATTCTGATTTATTTAAGGTAAAATTTGAAGTTATTATTAAGCGTTTTACCCCCAAGCACGGTTTAGGATCAAATGATCTTTCTCACGATAAGTGTTTGTTTTTTAATTATCAATAATTATGAATAAATATTCCATTTGTTCATTCATTTGTCACCAGCAGAGTGTTCCAGTCCGAAACCCCTTGGTATGGAGAACGGGACAATCCACGATGATCGCATCACGGCGTCCAGTAGGAACCGATGTTGCCCTGTGAGTCTGGCACGTCTAAACAGTAACGCAGGATGGGTAGCCGACCACTTGAGGTATGTATCAAAGGGAAATACAACACCTGACACGTAACTCTCATATCTATATTCCCTCTGTATCATTACAATGCCACAAAACGCTCGTGAATGTGTTTAATTAATGAACATCTAATTGAATCAATGTTTTTTTTTATGTTATGTTTCATTGGCGGATCCAGCGGGGGGGGGGGGGGGGGCGCACGCCCCCCCCCCGGCAAATATTTTAAAATGTATACTATCGGTGAAAAACGGACGGTGATCCGACGAGCCACCCGTTTTGAGTTTGAGGAAGAACAATCGTGCAAAAGGCGTTGCAATTTTCACGCACCTCCTGAGACTTTATGCGCGGGTTATGATGGCCGCACGATACGCGGATAAAACCAAGGTAAAACAAACTGTAGTGGAGTCTCATTTCGCGTATTTTTGAGCGCGTCATACGTCCATGAGACTGCACGCGGACAACTGCCGCGTACAATGCGTATGAAGGTCAAACCGTTTTCACGCTCTGGGCTTGGTGACTAAACAAAATCAAACAATGGCCACTTCAGATTCTATCAAAATATTCTTTTGATACGTTTCATGCCAGTTTGTCACACTCCCAAAATATGGATCCGCTGTAATGAAATATTCAAATTCATGTCAGTTATGTGACCGAGCGCGGAACAATTACAAATTATGTGCATGTTCTTAACTTAAGTCTTTGAATGCAGAAGAAACTTCATAAGAGCAAGAGTATATAGGCCTATATGTATTTGAAACACATGAAACAAAATATCCCCTCATAATTTTAAAGCCCGAGTCCATCATTTGCAGCTATCCAAAAAAGTAACTGGCGTAATTATTGTTGAAAAACATACTGGTTGAAAGATAGTATAAGGGGACTAAACTCCCTGTGAAATTATCCTTTCTGGCAAGCTCTCATTTTGAAGAAATCAACGAAAGAAGGCATTTCCAACGGTGCATCTTAAGAAGCACCGTAGGAAAATTTAAATTAGTAGTTCGTTTTGTTATTCGGCGCAGCGCGCACAAGCATTGGAACGAATTTTCGATGTTTAAAACGTTTTCTAAACGGTAGAAAGTGGCCAGGAATCTCCTCAAATTGCACCACAGAGCATCTAAAATCCAACTTTTTCCGGGGCCCTTAAGTGGGCCCCGGACCCCACGCCGTAAGGGCTTCGCACTCCGCGCTCGAAGGTCCTGGACCCTTCATTACAATTCTAGCCCCCCCCCCCGGCAAACGGCAGTCTGGATCCGCCCCTGCGTTTTGTTTTATTTTGTTCAACAATCTTTTTCTTGTTTAGTTTTCTTTTTCATTATAAAACAAATATCATCCCCGGCCAAAGCCCAACCCGGATGCGCATTTGAATTGCACAAACAAGTTTCAATAACTGTGTTCAATTTTCAAATCCATTCCACAACCGGATTTGCGGAGTATTGTTATTTCATTGTTCCTCATCCTCTCTTCCCTCTGTGTACAGTAGAGATGCCAATCCCTGGATCGAGGTGAACCTCGTTGAGCCTACAGTGGTGAGCGGGGTCATCACACAAGGCAAGAACTTTTTCGATATCTATGTGAAGAAGTACAAGGTGGCGTACAAGAAGCAGCCCTCATCTGACTATGAACATGTAACAGATGGAAACGGAAATATCAAGGTGAGTATCAATCGTGACTAAGTCTTGCTGTAAGCTGAATTTAACTGTTATACGTTGGACAGTTAAAAAAAATATTGTACACGTAACTTTTTCTTTAAATTATAATTTCGTTTGGGCTTTTCTCGCATTTTGATAGCTTTATTCGGTACGACGTTATTCGGTTCCATGCTAATGCAATCATTTATCCATTCTGAAATCGTGTCTAATTATAGCAACCAAAGAAGCAACGACAGAAAATATTGATGCTACATTCTCCTATAGAAAGGTTATTCATGAGAAAATTGTTTTTTTTTTTAAAAAGGTAAAAATGCTCTGAAGCTGAAGTAATAACCCATGGAGCCCAGTCTAGAGAGGTTTATATGGCTGAATATGAACTTAAAAGTGAGTCCCACCCAGGAGTTTACTTTTTATATATTTACGGTTTGTTGGCATTCTGTTTGGAAGGACGACTCCTCTGTTGAGATTGCCCGCTCTTTTAATGGTCTTGGTCTAAGACGTTACTGCAAGGAGGCTACTTTTGTTGCTAACGTGCGTTAATTGCATTGGGATTCATTTCAGGTGTTCATCGGTAACACTGATTACTACACTCCAGTCACTAACCTGTTTGCTGAGAGTGTGGTCGCCACGGTAGTCCGCATTGAACCTATTGAATGGCATCAGATGACTGCTCTTCGATTGGAGCTGCTTGGATGTCGCCGTGATTAATTCAGCTGAAGCATTCAGGTTATTGTGTTCGACACCGCTGACATTTCATTCAATGCAAAATAAATTCGACAACTATATTGAATATTGATTATTAGAAAAATTAGTATATTTGGTAAGAGGAATATTTTTCAGAAAGCAAAAACAAACTGAGGATTTGGAATAATCACTATAAGGGCCCTTGCGTGAATTTGTATCTTGAGAAAAGTGAAAGCGCGGTACGTGTGAAAACTTGGCCTTGTGTATCTCTTGAAAAGTTATAGCGATTTTCTTTTTCCTTTTTTTTTTATAGTATTTTCGCTTTAAGTAGAAACGTCTAAACTATAATTGTAGTACTTTGTTGTACATTAAAAAAATATATTAAGCTGTGCTGCCATCTTAAATCTTCAATACAATGTATTATGTTCATACATTGTTCGAAATACAGAATAAAAAAAGAATAGAAAAATGAACTGTTAAAAACGCAATACATAATTGACCAAAACAATAAACTCGCAAAATCAAAGTGAATTGTGGGAACTGAGAAACCTTTCGATAATTGAAATATTTTAGTAATCAAACTGTTTGAATAAGGGCCGGTTCATACTACACTCGAATTTGATTGCGAAGCGCATCTGACGTCAGGAAGCATTCGCCGATAAATTCGCCTGAGTTGAAAAGTGTGGTTTTTCTTTTGCCAACTCACAGCGCGGCAAATTGCCGTGACAACACAAACTCGCGTTCGCGTTCGCTTTTGTGCCGAGTATGATGGGGCTTTTGCTTCTAGATGTTATTCACAGTGGTATTTTGCTGTAAATATAAGACAATTTAAGTCACGATATTAAATCATTGTACAATAATTTAGGTGTACATTTTGGTGTTAGATGTATAGTGTATTGTTAGGGCAAAGTAACATTTTATTGCCAATATATTGTAATATTGTTAGTACAGTGTTGGACAATTTTATCAATGTGATGCCTTATTGCTGTGGATGTACAGGTTTATCAGAATTCCAAAATTACAAACTGTTAGAGGTCAAATACAGTGGAGGTTAGCTATTGTGAAAGCAGGAATCTTAAGAAAAGAAAAGAATAAAAGAGAATATTTCCCAAATATTCGTAGTTCCTTGTGAATATCGGCGAGTTATCGTAAAGAGAAGCTAAGAGGCAGCCATCTTGATCTCATTGAGGGATACACCAATATTGTACATTTATTATTCAACTGCTGTTTTTGCTAAGCGGTTATGTTCCTATTTGTGAAATAAAAAATGCCTATAAATAAACCATGTATTTGGTCTTGTTTGTTTAGTATTTGCTTGATTTGTTCCATGATCGAATCATAACTCGAATCGGATCAGCAGATGTGCATTGCTATAGGATTAGAAAGCAGAATGGATTTGCGGCCAGTGCACATTTGATTGTCTGTAAAAGTGACCACTATTTCGTCAGCAAGGAAATATGTATATTGTATATTGTTTTCTCTTCATTTTGTGTTTCTTTCTTTATTTTATTTTTGTCAAGGGAAAGAAGAAAATTCCCTTGGTCCCCCTCCTCGTGACTCCCATGTTACTTTATGGTACATGCTGTCTGACAAGTGCACCATGAATAGATGACGCGATGAACGACCCATTTAGTAGGTACTTGGTTAGTTTCCTCCTGAAACATCCTATAGGGATCTTGAAAACATTATCTAGGGATGTTGACATTTACCGCGTCATTTGTTGAAATGCCGTCAAATGGCTTGGAGCGTTTACTAAACAGTGGAACCTTGCGCCATACTAGCTATCTTGGCTTTGGTGAAGCTGCGAAGCCACGAAGCAGAGCGCAGCCTAGGCGAACTCGGCGCGAAAGATTGGCGAAGCCGCGAGACCTTTTTCTAACATTTTGTGAGGCCTTGGTTGAATTATTTATAAGGTTACAAACATGAATCATTGTTATTTTTAAGCGAATGCGCATACGATTCAACAGGTACCCCGGAGGACTCTATTGTTCGGCATGTAAAGGATTCAGTCGACCGTGCGTGACTTTTCAGAAATTCCGCTGAACCCAAAATCTTCATCGGGTCTCAATTTTTTCTCGAATTTCTTGGCAACGACAGCTCCTGTGCCAAGTTCTCGGATAACCTCATATGTTAGTATTAAACATCCAGGTCATCATTAAACATCGCGATTGTAGATGGAATTTCGACTTCAGACTCAGTATACAGATAGACCGACACCCGCAGATGGTCCCCAAAGATTCTTGTCACCATGGCGTCATCAATTAAGCTGCGTCACATTAAAGGTGCATTTTTGAAAGCCCTATATCTCCTGAAGACATCTCCTGAAGACAAATCCAATTGGGTTGAATCATTACAGACAGGAACGTGTTATAAATGTAAATTTAAGTCGTGATGACGTGTCATGTGACCTCACATTTAAGGCGCAATTTGCTGAGGTCTCGCGAGAAGTAAAGGTCTGATTCAGTTGTACTTTGTGTATAGTGTTGTGTATTATTCATGTAGATGACATTTATAATGACACCGTGAATTCATGATGAAATATTATGATGAGTCATCACATCTCACAGAGCCATTTCAAAAACAGACGAAACAGCTTGTTTTCGTACACAAACACATTTCTAGCTTAATTTGTATTTCATCGGCCGATGTGCTTTGCGTAAAGTTGAGATGAACGAAACGACCTGCTGTCAGTTCAAGTTTGATTGTCCCCCGCCCATAAAAAAAATGCATGAAAAGTGAACAAACTACCCACTTTGTATTTCTTTCCGTCTGTTAAGCAAAGTCTCGTAATCAAGTTAACGTCATCATCTGTACCGACGTTATTTTACCAACAGAGAGCGCCCAGAAACACTGACACATTTCTCGTACCCAACGCCCCACCCCTACAATTCTTTCAGTTTTGGTTCTGTTTTCTAGCTGTTTGTATACAATTTAAAGACAAAAAGTCCATGAGCATCATAATCGCCGAACAAAGTGATTTCGGGTCATAAGGTTACCCCAAAGTAGCAACCAGGAGGGCAAAAATAGCCCAAAGGTCAACGTGTACCTACACATTTTCGACACTATAGTTATCCCTTCACCTCTGTATATTCCAAAACGAAACCACACTCCTGATATAAGGTCACATCCATTAAAAAAATGTAAACGCACAACCTTACAATACGTAACCTTTTAAAATTGTATTATACCCTTCTTATCTTCCAATATTATCTCTAATTTTAGGTCTCTCTCTTTCAAAATTGTGCCCGTCCGTTTAAACAAAAAATAGCCAGATCTTTACCACTATTATGCACAATTGAAGCGATATTACATTCATCGATACTTGTTTTCCTTTGAGAAACAAAATTCTCCTCACCACATTTCCAAACTACAAAAAAAAATGCCCTAAATTGCTGTAAAAATAACCTATTTAAGGGAACGAAATTATACAAATAATGAATGAAAAGAAAAGCAATGACAGTCCATGTAGTATCTGGCAAGTGGCAGCGAGCTATACATACATGAGTTGAGTGTGCTCTCGCTGTGGTGTGTATTGCTATATGGTGTTTGGCGCTATATGCTACGCGCGGGCGAACTGTTGGACAGTTTAGCCGTACACTTGCGGGTGCATTGTGGTTGATTGGGGCTGGGCCCATGGTTTCGTAGTGCTACGTGCGCACAAACCATATCTCCACAGTGGCACTGAGCTATGCAATGCGATATTGTTTAGGCAGTGAGATGTACGCGCACGTGGCGGTGTACAGGCCTACGCTATACCGCCAGTGGTTTTAAGGACAAAACTAGGGCCAAGTTCGGGCAAGGACCATTAGTCGACTAGTGGTTGATTTGTGACATACCTTACGCCTGCGCACTAATAGCAACGTGCCGGAACGTCTCTTGTCAAACGCTGGTCAAAATGTCATCGCAAAACTGCTGGATCCTGGCTCTCTGCTAGCGTTATGAATGCGCGCGGCTATTGGTTACCAGCGAAGCAACCAACACCAGTAGGCTGGTTCCAAATAGTCGACTAGCGTAGTCAACCGCCGTCGACTAGACAGAGTTCGGGCAAACGTTAGTTAACCATTGGTCAACTATAGTCCTTGCGCGAACTTGGCCTAGTAGAGCGCCCTCTTATTTGTGTTAGTATGGTGCCTCAGAACATGTCTACGAACGCGCTCTAGGATCTTTGCTACGAACAAACCTAGTGCATGTACTGTGTAAAGTATAGTACCCAGAACCATATATCAGCTTTCGAGGTACGACCTGCGATATACGAGCAGTTTTGTTAGCGGAAAATTTAGTGATGTTAGCAGATTGTTTTGTTAAGCTTGTATTTGTAAATGTCTGTTGGATAATGAATACTGTTTTGTATGTAAACGTTTCAGATGAAGTGTTAGGCCTAATTGTATAATTGGTGATTTTTTGACGACTGGTGACGATATGGTCACGTCACCATGGTCACGTAGATAATGTATGCAGAGCTGCATGGTGTATCACGTGGATATATATACAAGCCACGTACCGGCAGGGTCTAGGTGTACCCATGGTGTATCGTGGCCCAGGACGGGTGTACCCCCCCCCCCCTGGCTCAAATACTCCACTTTTTACGTGTTGTTAACTATACTGGGATGATATGGGGGGCATGTGTTTCACGAAAAGTTGACAAAATTGAGGTGAAGTCATCACGACATGAATATGATGGGATCTTTGTGTTAACATCTTTTTTTATTGGAAGATATACACAAACTCACAGACTCACAGAGTGGTGTTTTGTAGGTCAAAAAATAGTGAATGAAAAGAAATCGGAGTACTAGTGTAGGCATGGAGCTATAAAAGTGAAATTGTTCGGAGTATATGACCTGAGGCTGTCATGGCTGTTGTTAGTGCAATCTTTTGGATGAACTGACTGACTTACATTTCCTGCAGTAGTAGGGAAGGTGGGGGTACGGGACCAAAATGGAAAAATCTGTGGCAAGCCTGGACACGCCGCTCTCAGTTTTAAAAATAGTTGGGGGGAAAATATAGGGGAATCCCCCGCGGCAAATTTTTAGAAATCTGACGTCAGGTTCGGGAGCAACATAGAAAAATGTGTGCCAAGTCAGGGCCTGTCGCTCTGGAGTTAAAAAATAAATATGTCGTCGATAAAATGAGGTGATGTCACCACCACGTGACCTTGAAACTCGGGATATAAAAAAATTAGCTTCTCTACCTGTGAAAAGGTAGAGAAGCTGTTTTTATATAAAAATGGAGAGTAATATGTTCAGACCGACGAGTACTTGAAAAATTATAAAAAATAATATCGGTTTTTATTAGATATATCAATGAATCTTTTTCAGAGTAAAAACCTCGAGCTATCTGATAAAACAGATCAATGCGATCACCATATAATCATCGACAATGGTTTTTTTAATTTGTGAAACGAAACGTGCGGTGAAATAGACTCACGTTACTTTGATTTTTCGGCAGAAAATGCGCAAGAAGATCGTATCAATTGGTCAATTTTAAAAAGAAATAAAAGAAAAACTGTGGAGAAACTTAATTTTTCTGTGTGTCCAGAGCAAGTCTCAGAAGATGTCCAAGAAACAATCAATAAATATAACAAGCTCGTTAATTACAAAACATTGAGGGGAAACGGATGCGTTAAACGGTCGTTAATAGCCGCGTGTTTTTATTATGTAGTTCGATTAGACAAAGAACGAGTTAGAGATTTATTTAAAGTGACTCAAAATCAATTTAATAAAGCACTAAAAGATACGATGACCACTACAATAAAGGCGGGGCTGAGGGTGACGCCCTAAGAGGTGAAATAGAGGTATAACTCGGTGGATCGCCTTCATAATGTTTATTTACCGAGAATTTGAACTTGTAAGTTTTTCGATGAGAGATTTTTTTCCTTTGCCAGCCGTTCGTCTACCCGTTTTTAAACTTCTTTTTCAAAGTCTGTATCGTTTTTAATTTTTTGAAGCTTTGTGCTGGTCTTTGTTCTAATTTTTTGTTTAAGCTCTTTTAATTTTGCGAGCTCTCTCGTAATCAATATAAACTCTTCGTGCGATATATCTCCGCTTTTTCAGCTTGGCGGATAATCGCCTAGACGCGATTCTAAGCAGAATATCTACACCAAAAGCGCCTATTAACGTTCCTTCTAACACCAATCCAACGGGGGCTGATATAACACCCAAGAGAGCGGGAATACTGACAGCCCCCGCTATAGCTCCCAATACTTCTAATCCTATCTCTACGTAATTAATAGTGTCGATCACTCTCTTTATTTTTTTATAAGTGCGCTCTCGGTGGTCTCTCTCTTTCAAGATTAAAGATCGAATCTCTTCAATCTTTTTAAGTCTGTACACTTTTGTTTCTTCGTGAACGTTACTATTTAATCGGAGTACATCTCCAGAAATATCAGGGTATAACGCCTTACTATCTATACTCATGTTTTAATAGAAAAAGATTTTAAAATTAAAAGATCTCCAACTCTATCATTATACTCACACCCTTGTTTTTGATGATCTGTCCTTTTTCACCTATGATTGAAAATGTCAGTTTGTCGATTATACCGTTTTTAAGTTTTTTGAAATCCTCGACTCTATCGGGCTCGGGTTTGCGCGTAGCCACGGGTACGATTTTTAAGATGTCAGAAGGACGACCATTAAAAAAGTTTTCACTCGTTCTTAATTGCGGGCAGCGAATAAACAAAAATTTAAACGGATTAACGTCGTAAGACCCCGTATACACCACTTTGGGTACCAGTCTTCCTTTGGGTAAATTGAGTAATCGAGATATTTCTCTGTTCAAGCGCAATTTGAGATTTACGTCGGTTACTACCAACGTCACCTTTTTAGATTCTCTAAATATTCGAAAACTTACCCCGGGTATATAATTTATAATGAAATCGAACCAATCAACGTCGTACCACCCCGGTGGTATGGTGACCGAACCGGTGACTCCAGCTGGTAACGGCGCTAAAAGATGTTTGTGCAAGTAAAGGCATAAACCTATTTGTACAAGCCACGATAAAACCAAAACAACCGAACCAAAATTGTATCAATGTGAGTACGTCTGGAATTGTATACAATAGGAAAGGCGCAGGTGCGCCTGTCTGGAAATGTAGCAATTTGGGAATGCGCACTCTTTGTGATCTCCAGCGCTCAGCGTGGGAACGTGCGCTGGCTAGCCCACAATTGTCACGTGACAAGCGGGTGAACAACCGCTGGTAAACAATCGGCCACTTGTTCCAAGAAGTTTCTCCCTGTTCGTACGCTCTCGATATCGCTCTGCAAATATTCGGTGCAATAAAGGCTGTAGTTGCTCTGAAGAGGAATATTGCCTGAATTCGTTCAGCGGCCTATGGGAGACTGAACTGACGGGGGCCGGACAAGTCAAACTGCGCTGATTCCAGCATCGTCAACGGGAGAGATGGGGAAACGAAAAGCAGCCAAACCGAAAGAAGCACCGAAAGCGAAAAGAGGTCGACCTCGAAATAAGACAGCGACACCAACCACACAGGCAACTGGCCCAGGCACGGGCACACCGATTGACGCTCCAGCACCCTCAACTCATCAGCCATTGGCCGACGGATCACAGCCACCAAGCCAGCCAAGCGCCATCGGTGGACAGCAATGCCAGCAGCAGGCACCAACCCTTCAGCGGCCACTACAAATACAGCCTGGAGGGCTTACTGCACCGGGGGTCGTATACTCATCGGCTCCACAAGCAGCTCAGCAGCAGGAGGCGCAGTACATGCAGTCAACAGGAGTGGCCACGACACAGAGACCGGGTGAGCTCCAAACGACTTCAGTAAACCCCATACATAAAACTACCCCAGCCCAAATTGGTTCTCCAGCCGCATCCTTTCCCTCCCTCGTTCCGAGTCCAACCGCCCTACTAAGCGCAATACCTGCCTTGATGGAGCCCCTAATGTCTCAAGCGGCGGCTGCGCTGGGGACCTCTCCCCTATCACCCCAAGGTGAAATACTTGGGGCATCGGTATCACAAAGCACCAAGGAAAAAATAGGGAAGGGGGAATATGTAAACCTCAGTGCACTAGTAAAAAACCAAGGGGTAACAGCGCCCAGCCCCGCGTTAGACGAGCTTACACTAGTCCAAGTTGGCCAACAATTAAAGCTTAAATCCGCCACACCGACGAAAAATAAGATTTACTCCATAGAAGTATGGACCAATGCGTTTCTCGTGTATGCAACTATCTACCTGCAAACTAACCCAGGGTGCGCACAAGAAATATTGAAGTACTGCCATACTATTCGCTCAGCGGCGACGCGATACTCCGGATATGGGTGGCAAGAGTACGATATTGAATTCAGATCGAAGCATGTAGGGCAGAGCAAGCCGTGGGCAGCTATCGATGGGGAACTATGGTTAATGCATGTAGTTGGGGGCGGGCCATTGCGATCTACGGGCACTAGTTCAACGCAGCCAACATTCCAGCAAAGGAAACGCCCGGACGGGCCGTTTCAATCCGCTAAACCACGCACGGGTTCCTTTCGTGGAAGTAGTACTAGGCAGCCAGGCGGAAACCAGCCCGGTGCCGGTATCTGCTATGAAGCCAACTTTGGCACCGGGAAATGTACCAGGCCCAACTGCCGCTTCATCCACAAATGCATTGCATGTGGAGCAACTGACCATGGGAAAGTCACATGTCCAAAACTTCACTCCACTACAGGTAGCCGCGTCCCAAAAACGAAACAGTAAATTGTTAGATGTCGTTGACTGCCCACGAAATACAATATCCCTGTCAACTTTAGCTCCGACCCCGATAATAGTTCCTAACCTAATAAACATGCTTGAAAGTTACCCCAATAAAGAAGCAGCGCAATTATTGAAAACAGGATTCACTAAGGGTTTCAGTCTCGAATACGCGGGACCCCGCATGCCAGTAGACTTACCTAACCTGAAGTCGGTTGAAATCAATGCAAAAATCGCACTAGAAAAAGTAACAAAAGAAGTCCGGTTAGGTCGCTATGCCGGTCCATTTCACGCACGGCCCCTTACGAGGTTACGGTCAAACCCGCTGGGACTCGTACCAAAGAAAGTTCCCGGGGAATACAGACTAATAAATCACCTGTCCTACCCACCAGGTTTCTCAATAAACGAATTTATTCCAGATTCGGTATGCCGAGTTGAATATACACATTTTGACGAAGCCACAGACCTGGTGGCTAAAACGGGGGTAGGGGCGGAGATGGCAAAAGCAGACATAAAGTCTGCTTTTAGATTACTCCCGATCTGCGTTCGGGACTTTGAACTTCTAGGGATCAAGTTCCAAGGAGAATACTACATTGATAAATGTATGCCTATGGGGGTTAGATGCGCACCGGCGTACTTTGAGGCGTTCTCATCGTTTATAGAGTACTGCGTGCGTTCAAACCTTAAGACCGACAGAATAATTCATTACATGGATGATTTCCTTTGCGTCGGAGCACCGCAAGCGGCAGATAAAACATCATGCCTTTCACTGGTTCGGGAGTTCAAAGCAGTGTGTCGGTTTCTGGGAGTCCCCCTTGCAGTCGAGAAAGGTGAAGGACCAACAACAAAACTCACATTTCTGGGCCTAGAAATCGACTCACGGCTAATGCAAGTACGAATTCCTATGGACAAACTAGTAGAGACACAGCACAAAATACGTAAGGCGCTCACGAGACGGTCGTTTTGCCGCAGGGAGATACAGTCCATGGTAGGACTCTTAAATTTTCTATGCAGGGCAGTAAAACCAGGTAGGGCATTTCTACGCCGACTCACGGACATGACAAAAAGCAACTCTGAAACAGGCCAACCAATCACCCTAAGCGAAGGCGCTATCCTGGATTTGACAATGTGGCAATCATTCCTTGAATACTATAATGGGGTTTCAATAATCCGCCATCGGAGCTCGCCTACGGACGCGGATGCCACTCTATTCACAGACGCGAGTGGGGAAATTGGATATGGCGCGTATTTCCAGGGTAGGTGGTTTAACGGCAAGTGGCCAAAACACGTGAAGGAAGGCGGTTACTCTATCGCCTGGAAAGAAATGCTGCCAATTGTAGCGGCAGTAATAGTATGGGGCAGCGATATGGCAGGAAAACGCGTCACAGTTCACACTGATAACATGGCCGTCAAATGCATTATAAATAGCCAAACATCTAGCTGCCAAAAGATCATGCAGCTGGTCCGTGCGTTCGTCTTAGAATGTCTCAAAAAAGACATCACCTGCAAAGCAGTGTACATTAATACCAAAGAAAATAACATCGCCGATTCACTTTCTCGATTTCAGATCCACCGATTTCGAGCTCATGCCCCCACAGCCGAGCGCATGCCAACCCACATTCCACAGCACATCTGGCAGCTTTAACCGAAGAAACGCATAGGTTAATCTCACTTTCGCTGGCAGACGGTTCCCGAGTTGCATATCAGAGGGCAGTCGACGCCTTTCAGAACTTTCGTCTATCCCACAGTTTGAAATCCTCGTGGCCAGCGACTTCCCAAGACGTCATGACATTCGTAGCTCACTTGTCCCTTAGCGGCAGAGCAGCTTCCACTATATCCGTACATGTGGCAGCAATATCTTGCTTACACAAAATGCATAACTGGGACGACCCCACCCAACATTTCCTGGTAAAAAAGATGCAAGAAGGCTGTCGTCGCCAAGGGAAGTCACGAGATATCAGACGGCCAATTACATGGGATATTTTGGCGAAAATAACATCAAACCTAGATTCGGCATGCGCGTCCCTCTATGAATGCATTCTTTTCAGATCAGCGTTCCTACTGGCGTTTTTTGGTTTGTTGCGAGTGGGGGAACTTACAGTAACAGCGCGATACGGTAATACCTCTAAGGTGATCGCGATTGGGGACATTCAAATAGCGCATAATAACCCAGGGGCGTTGATGCTGCGTATTAGATATTCAAAAAACGATCAATACGGGTCCGCAGTCATGCTGCGGATAAACGGCAATGGTATCGAAAACATGTGCCCTGTTCAGGCTATGGGGAAATATCTTGTACGCAGACCAGCTGCCAAGGGCCCCCTCTTCTGCCACGCAAATGGGGCGCCATTAACACGGTACCAATTTGGGGCGGTACTAAGAAAGGTCTTACACCACGCCGGAGTCCCCCCACTACAGTACGGGACGCACTCATTCAGAATAGGCGCAGCGACAACTGCGGCGTTAAACGGGCTATCCCCCAGTAAAATACAAACGATGGGTAGGTGGCGCAGCGACGCTTTTAAGTTATACATCCGCAAATAGAGCATGCTACTAAGATAGCAAAACTGGCTCAAAATCCTGTGTATTCCTTCCAGCTAATTGCAGAGGAAATGTCCGGGTGGTCGGCGACAGTCTCGTTCGGAGAGCAAATGAGAGAGCCAGCTCCACAGGAAAGCAGAATTTGGGACTGTCTCAATCAGTAGTGACATGGATGGGAAAAGGCGGAGCAGCTCTCCAGGACTTTCCGAGCGAGCTCCAACGACGAACGCGTCGTAGTTTGCCCCCAGATATGATTATAATTCACCTAGGGTCGAACGACTTGGGTAAATGGCCTGCCAAAGAATGCCGCCAAGCGATCGAAACAGCAATTAGATCCTCAAGGGAGATGTTTCCACAGGCGCATCTCACTTGGTCTGCAATATTACCCAGGTTGTTTTATTATGGATATGAGCGTTGCACGTCACAAGTAAAGATGGAGAATGTTCGCAAATCGTTGAATAAGTACGCCAAAAGAAGAGCACTGCGGATCGCTAATGCATCCTTTATCAGCCATAGTTTCACCACTCACGAACACAGGTACTTCAGGCGCGACGGTGTCCATCTGTCAGATGCCGGTTCAGATATACTCATTGATGATTTCATGTTGGCGGTGCAGTCCGCAGGATTCCTGTAAGATAATGGCGCACTTGTCCAGCGAAGCTGCAACCTCCGTACCTTGTAACTTTGCACAATCAAAAAATGGGCCAAAAAAAAAAAAAAAAAAAAAAAAAAAGTTGTTGGAGTTAATTTTTGGGGTTGTTTTTTTCCTCTGTGCCAGGGCTTGGTCAGGTGGTCACGAAAGTTGACCAGTTACCTTCGCCAGGCCTTGTCACGGGGTGCCCCGGGACGCCGGGGGAGGCATCGAGACCCCGGGGACCACGGGGCTCTCGGCCTCGGCGGAGTAACCATCCGCCGAATGGGGCGGCTGACCCAACCTCTCTCAGTCCCGGGAATAACCAGGGTAATACTCGGGGAACTAGTTTTGCATGGGTTCATATATAAGCCCCCTAGTTGGGGGAAAAGACCTGTTTGTTGCTTGAATTTACAAGTTTGCAGTTTACTCCTTTTGAGTTCGAGACCAGTTATATATATATGTGTTTAGAACAAGCTACTTGCTTGACAAGCATTATAATGAGAGATATGTATCTAATTTGTGATCATGATTTAGGATGTAAGTTGCTAATGATTATGAACAAATTGATTGCATGGACATGATCATGATTTAGGATGTACATGTAAGTTGATAATGATTATGGACAAATTAATTGGATGTACAATTAAGGCGTCCGACAGGGAGAAATAAAGAGCTTGGAGGCAAGGGCAAAGAATTCTTGGATCGTGTGTCTTTGTACAAGATGTTTGTGCAAGTAAAGGCATAAACCTATTTGTTTGTAACAAGCCACGATAAAACCAAAACAACCGAACCGAAATTGTATCAATGTGAGTACGTCTGGAATTGTATACAATAGGAAAGGCGCAGGTGCGCCTGTCTGGAAATGTAGCAATTTGGGAATGCGCACTCTTTGTGATCTCCAGCGCTCAGCGTGGGAACGTGCGCTGGCTAGCCCACATTTGTCACGTGACAAGCGGGTGAACAACCGCTAGTAAACAATCGGCCACTTGTTCCAAGAAGTTTCTCCCTGTTCGTACGCTCACCCAACCCGCCCTCCCCAAGGTTGGAGGTTGACGGGAATACAAGTAGTTAACTTACAATAGCCAAGTGCACGTGAAGGTTATTGGATATCAGTTGGTTTTGGCTTGACACGTAATTTTACTTAGTTTAAATAATGGTTGGTTGGTTTGGGCTTGACACATTTTCCGAATGGGTCCCAGTTAGTGGAACATTGGTTGGTTGGTTTGGGCTTGATACACGTACATGAATGCATTTCCACACTAGGACCAAACGGAAAGAATAATGGTTGGTTGGTTTGGGGCTTGACACATCATTTCCCCGTATGGGGGCTAGTAGTTGGTTGAATATTGGTTGGTTGGTTTGGGCTTGATAGTCAACTACATGCTATATTAGGACCAAGAGGGAAGAATAAAGGTTGGTTGGTTTGGGCTTGACACATCATTTCCCCGAATGCGGTCCGTATAGTTGGCTGAATATTGGTTGGTTGGTTTGGGCTTGATACATAACTACATTCTATCCTAGGACCAATAGGGAAGAATATTTATTGGTTGGCTTGGGCTTGACACATCATCTCCCCGAATGGGTCCTACTCAGTTGAATATTGGTTGTTTGGTTTGGGCTTGATACATCAATACCCTTCCAAACTAGGACCAAAAAAGGAGAACAATTGGCTGGTTGGCTTGGGCTTATCATAATTGCCCCGACGAGGTCCTATATATTGGAACATTGGTTAGTTGTAGACATGTACTTTTGTTTCTACAACCACCCAGATAATTTAAGTTGAGTAATAGGATTATGTTAAGTAAACCCTTGCACACATAGCGGGGTTGTTTTTTCCTCTGTGCCAGGGCTTGGTCAGGTGGTCACGAAAGTTGACCAGTTACCTTCGCCAGGCCTTGTCACGGGGTGCCCCGGGACGCCGGGGGAGGCATCGAGACCCCGGGGACCACGGGGCTCTCGGCCTCGGCGGAGTAACCATCCGCCGAATGGGGCGGCTGACCCAACCTCTCTCAGTCCCGGGAATAACCAGGGTAATACTCGGGGGAACTAGTTTTGCATGGGTTCATATATAATAAGCCCCCTAGTTGGGGGAAAAGACCTGTTTGTTGCTTGAATTTACAAGTTTGCAGTTTACTCCTTTTGAGTTCGAGACCAGTTATATATATATGTGTTTAGAACAAGCTACTTGCTTGACAAGCATTATAATGAGAGATATGTATCTAATTTGTGATCATGATTTAGGATGTAAGTTGCTAATGATTATGAACAAATTGATTGCATGGACATGATCATGATTTAGGATGTACATGTAAGTTGATAATGATTATGGACAAATTAATTGGATGTACAATTAAGGCGTCCGACAGGGAGAAATAAAGAGCTTGGAGGCAAGGGCAAAGAATTCTTGGATCGTGTGTCTTTGTACAAGACTCGGAGAAATAAAATCTAAATTATCACCAGACACGATAAGACTTCCCCGTATTGTTATCCCAGCTTGTCTTATTAGTCTAACCCTAGGTTTGCTTATTATACCTTCGATATATTCTAGCGCTATCTTTTTACCTTCATTGATGAAGCCTTTTCTTTCGAATAAAGTTGTTATTAAAAATATAATCGTATTAAACAGACGAGAGACACAAACTCTAACGGTTTAGGTATAGATTATTACTGGGACACGTCTTACGTACCCGTACCCGGAAACGATTATGATACAACCGACCTTAACCTCGAGTATAGTCAGTATCGTAAAAATATGATGGGTGGAACTAAAATGGGGTTTGGTTTGGAAGGTCCACCCAAGGGTTCAGGGCGTTACAGCGATTACACCGTAGCCTTTATCGAACAAAATGAATCGGCACAAAAGGCTTTGTTAGATTTTATACCCGACACGAGTTCGTTTACCTCCGCGGGAATTATAAAGATCAACGAATCGATTAGATCTTACGTGTACGCTTTACTCGGTGCGCAGGCTCAAACAAAAACGAGCGTATTATCACCAGGCACCGGATTAGACGCTCAGAGACAATTTAACGTCATCGTTGAAGATATCATCAATGCAGTAGACGACATGGAAACGAGTATCAATCAATTTCAAGACTCTTTGCAGTATGCCAGAACGCCTTTAAATTTTGTCGTGAAACCGGGGTTGTATTTAATTCCATCGGATATGAACTTGAGGGTTGGAACGCACGACGGCTATAACAACAATCTTCAAATCGCTACCCAGATTATGAAAACTGGTTTGGTGCCAGATTTAAACTCACAACCTCAACCGGACGACTCTTTTGATGACACCGATGACGTCGCGCCACCAACACCCCCAGAGCCTATGACGAACGATATTGTATCACCAACACCAGCACCAACACCAACACCTACACCAGCACCAACACCAGTACCTACACCGACACCAACACCTACACCTACACCCCCACCAACACCAACACCTACACCCTCGCCTACAGTTTTAACCCAGGAGCCCACGAAACTACAAACTCACCAAGACGAAAAATTATCGTTGACGGTAGGAATATTAGCTCTCGTTGGTATGGTTATTTTGGTTTACGAGGCAACGCAATAAGTCACACTCTAATCACACAAAAAAAAGGCCTTACCAACTTTGTGCTGGTAAGGCTTTTTTTGTTGTTGTTTTGTTTTTAAACTTTAATTACAACTATAACTACCATCGTTTTTGTAGGTACGCAAACACCAAGGCTCCCACACCCAAAAACAAAGCCCACACGTGTTCGGCCAACCACGATACGGACTTACTCAGCGCGTTAAATATCCAACTTAGTACGCTGCCTATGATATCCGGCAGAGCACCCAACGCGCTCACTCCGAGTTTATGAAGAGCAGATGCAAAATTAGCGAGTTGTTTTGAAGTCCACTCTTTGATACCGCCTTTAGGTAGCGACGATGCTACTCACTATCGTGCTGATGGCTAAACTAAAAGCGGCTAAAATACTCACTATGGTCACACCTTGTTCTCTAAACAGAGTTCTAATCTTTTCCGCCAGAGTCGTGTCGTCGCCTAATATTTTATTAATCGTTTCTTTGATTCTAGCTATCTGACTTTTGAGCCCTCGTTCGTTGGCTTTTGCGGCTTCTAATCTGGCGGATCTTTCAACGTTCAAGTCGCTCAATTTATCGCTTAACTCTCGTCGACCCTCTTCGCTGTGAGATTCGTCGAGTTCTTGTCTCGTGGCTGCAATCTCTCGGTCTAGTTCTGTGAGACGCGCTAAATTAAGTTCTAGGTTACCTCTCAACGTCAGAAGAGTTTTGTCTAAACCCTGGAGTTCTCTGTAATTCAATCCTTCTGTTTGAGCGCCGGTGTCGCGTTGTAAATCGTCTATAATCTCGGTTACCT